GCATAAGAGATTTTCCCGGCAAGGTATTATATTTCAATCGCAGACTATCTCTTTCGCTTTCTCAACCCATACATTTTTCTCGCCGCTACGAAAATAAAACGATGCCTTAATGTTATTCTTGGTAATAATTTCTAACTCTGCAAGAGTTCATCAGGGCAATCACAATCATTATTGATTCTACATTTTTCATCTTTGACAAAAAAATTTTTGAACAAATTTTTGGCTTGCCCATGGGTTCTCCTTTGTCTCCGATACTGGCAAATATTGTTTTACAAGATTTAGAACACGAAATTATTACCAAGAATAACATTAAGGCATCGTTTTATTTTCGTTACGTGGATGACATTGTATTAGCCATACATGAGGAAAAGGTTGAGGAAGTTCTGGAATTATTTAATTCATATCATGAAAGGCTTAAATTCACCGTTGACCGTGGCGATAAAAATGGCATAAATTTCCTAGACGTTAAATTAATTAAACAAGAAGGAAACATCATCTTGATATGTACAAAAAACCTACCAATTCTGGGAGGTATTTAAATTATTATTCAAATCATCCGTTAACACACAAAAGGGGAGTTATTATTGGGCAACTGGACAGAATTCTATTTTTGTCCCATCCTAAATTTCAGGAAAAAAACATCACGGAACTAATTCGCATTCTTTTAAATAACGGTTATCCCTTAAAGTTTATATTTGCAACAATAAAAAATAGAATTAAGACATTACAAAATAGAAGTAAAAAATGTAATAAAGAAATTGATTCTAATGTTAATTCAAAGAAATTTCTTGTGGTACCGTATTTGAGCAAAGTGTCGGAAAAGTTCAAAAAGCTCTCACATGTTCATGATTTTAACATAGCGTATAAACCCATGAATAAAATGAATGCATTTATTAAGACGGGGAAAGATTCTTTGTCCAGGGATGACCAATGTGGAGTTGTCTACAAAATCGATTGTTTAAATTGTGAATCGTCGTATGTAGGCCAAACAAAAAGAAAATTAAAGACTCGGATAAAAGAACATAAAGCGGATTTAAAA